TTAGTATTGTTCTTATAAATAATAAAAAAAAAAATATACATTAAAATAAAGTTTGTACATACCGTCGAAATATGTTTTCGCTATTCTTTTCACCGGGAACTATATTATAAACTAAATATATTTTATTATTATTTTTCAAAAATTTGATAATCTGATAATCTAGTAATTTAACAAGTTTTAGTTGATTTTTGTTAAATATTCATTAGATTTAAATTTAAATATAAAAATAATTATAACTTTTATTAATTTAAAATGATAAAATAGAATTGAAAAAGTATTTGTATAAAATTCTGAAAATAACTAGCATAATTTCACATATTTGATTTGTATAATTGTATATAATTGTAAATTTTAGTTATACATAATAAATAAATATTTTAAATTAAAAATATGTAGAATAATTTTAACTCAAAACTTGATTTAATTTGACTCATTAGAAATACTATTTTTGTATATAATTGATCTTTTATATAATCATCTCCTATATAATCATTTTTTTCTTAAAAGCATATTTTTATTAACTAAAGTTAATAATAAAAAAATGTATAATTATATTAAAATTTATAAAAATAATAATACTATATTAAAATCTTAGTAAAAAATTTATGAAATTAAAGGTTAAACATTTTATTAAATTTAAAATAGATTTAGATAAGTAACTTTAAATATGACTATATAGAAAGTCAACTGTATATTTAATCTTATTTTATAATATTTTAGTTAAATTAATTTTCTGTATTTTTATATATATTTTAAATTTATAATCTTAAATATATTTATTAAGATTAGAATATATATATAAAATAAATAAAATCATATTTTATTACTTTTTAATTTTTATTTATTTAATAAAATATATATTATTTTAATATTACAATTTTTTTTATTGACTATTAATTTTTAAGTTAATATAATTTATTATAAAATATTAATTTTAATTATAAATCTCTTATTATTTTATAAATTAAACAATTTTATATATTTTTTTAATAATAAAAACTTTTTTTATACAGTAGCATTTTTAGATACATTTTTTTTTAATAATGATTATATTAATTTATAAAATTAATAATTTAAAATTAATTGATTATAAGGTATATAAAATATATAAATATAAAAAATTATAAACTTGTAAATACAATGAAATAAGCATAATAAAGTAAGTTTAAATTGGATTTTTAATTTATTTTTACACTTTATACAAAAATCTGAATTTTTATCATATGTATTTGTAAAATATTATTATTATAATATATATATATATATTTATTAATAAATATAATGGATAGGAAGTAACTAAACAAAATATAATATTAGATAATATTAATAAATAGATTCTATATTATTAAAAGTTATATAATATGAATATTTAGATTGTAATAATTTAAAGAAAAAATTAATAAATTTTAAAATAATATAAATAGTAAATTATATACATTTTTTTATATACAGTATATATATTTTAATATTCAAAATTATATTTTATAAATATATTTATAGATAGGTTCTGAGAAATTTTTTGGCTAAAATTAAGACCTTAAAACATTTTAATCTAATAACATCCAAAACTAAAATGCAATAAAAATTAAAAATTCTCAGAACCTGATTTTCCTAGCAATATCATAATTGTAATATCAGAACAATTAATTAACGGTGGATAATATAACTCATCGATCTCTGGTGGTTAAACTAATTCTAACCAACCCAAGAATAGGGATTTCAAAATCGATGACAAATAAATTTCAACCAATACCAGTTCATCATCACCAAGATAAATAATACACGAAAACATGTGGCTGATTTTAAACCTATCAATTTTAAGTAAAGAGGGTTCAAGAATTTAAATCACGTGGTTCACATGCTTGCGTTACAAATGAAAGTTTTTATAATTCTAAGAATTTTGATAAGAAACGTTATTTAGATAAGAATTATTATCTGCACAAATTTTAATTGGGCAAAAAAAATTGTTAATCACCTTCAATTAATACTATTGGACCTAATTTTATTTTTCACGATCAGTTTTTATCGATCATCTTTCTAGAATCATCTCAATTTACAATAATAGATAAAACGGGTTTTAATCAAAAAAAAAAAAATCTCTCAATAGCCGAAATGGAAATAACGTGGGGAGCAAATGTGATTACACGATACTGCAGGGAGTACAGCATGTATTGTACGCATGCGTTTAAATTATTAAATACTTTTTTTTTTTTTTAAAAAAAAAAGGTATTTATAAGTAGTATTATTACGAACTCAACCTTCCTTTTTCAAACTAAAAAAAATTAGAATAAAAGTTGATTCAAATTAAAGCATATTCGGATTCAATTTTCGAATCAATTAAATTCACAAGACATTATTGACCGACAATTATGTTTCATGATCTGCTGTGTAGCGCGTACATTTCGTGCGGTACTAAATTAATTTACGTATATTGGTTGTATTCCCATTCCCAACTTAAACCGCCAGGTATTTCACAAACACCCAGAGGTGTCTATTTTTGGCTTTTGAATAATAAACCGGGGGCATGTTGATGGCTTAGAGTGTTATTTTCGGAATGGGCTCCGATCTAATACCAATTTCGATTATTTTTATAACCTGAAGAATCGCCAAAAATATTTTATCACATAACTCCAAAAAGACTCCTCATAAATTAAATTTTCAATGAAATTAAAACACAAGTCAAAATTGCCAAAAGATTCTAAACCAAAAGACGCAAGTCGTTATCGTTGGCTGGAAGATTTAATTGCCAAAGAAGGTATAAGATACTTTGAATATTCAGACTTCAGAAATATACAACCGATTGGAAAAGGCTCGTTTGGAAACGTCGTGCGTGCTAATTGGAAAGGTTTTAGCACTTTTTTCGCTTTGAAATCCTTCAACAGCAATAGCAAAACCCTTAAAGAAGTTGCCAAGGAGGTATATAAATCTTCATAATATTTTTTATCTTTAATTAAAAAAAAAAAGTTGAACCTCCATTAAAGCTTTCTATATATTACCCGCAGTTAAAATTACATCGAATTGTTTTTTTTAACGAAAGTATTATACGTTTTTACGGAATTACCAAAATAGAAACCGGTAAGTTATTCAACAGTTATCTGATGGAACGTAATCCCACAAACAACAAATGCATTATCGTTGTCTTTAATGAGTAAAAAGTGTTAAATCCGCGTAGTCTTAATTTTCTGAATGATAGAAATAAATGAGTTTTATTTTTTTTTAAAAAAAATAATAATTAAATTTTTTTATTTTTATTCAGAATCAGAGAAAACATATTCGTTAGTTTTACAATATGCTGATAGTAGTACACTAAAAACCTACTTAAATGATCATTTCGATGAACTACAATGGAACGATAAGCTGCGCCTAGCACTACAATTGACAAATGCCGTCTTGTGTTTACACGAGTTTGATATCATTCATCGTGATCTGGTGAATTTTTTTTTTTTTTTAATTGTTTTTTTTTTGTCGTCTTCTTTATTTTTTTTTTTTTTGTTTTGAACTTAAACGAAATCTAATGGGAAAAACAAAAAAAAAAAAAATGCGATAAAAGCATGACGATAATATACTCGTACATCAGAAAAATATCAAATTGTCAGATTTTGGATTATCACGAAAAATCGCTGAAGCTCCGAGTGATATGTTGCAAATATTTGGCGTAATACCTTATATAGATCCAAAATGGTTCAGTAATAAAAATCAAAATTACGAATTAAATAAAAAATCGGACGTATTTAGCGTTGGAGTTCTGTTGTGGCAAATTTCAAGCGGACGTAGACCATTTTATGCCAAAGACATCAATTATGATATAGGTTTGGCCTTTGAAATAATAAATGGAAAAAGAGAAAAGGTTATTGACGGTACTCCCATTGAATATAGTAACTTGTATCAAGGTAAATGATATATTTAACCGACCGATTTTTTTTTTTTTAAAAAAAAAAAAAAGAAGAAGATTGATTTACGTGTTTATATTATATTATATATTTAGAATGTTGGAAACATGAACCAAATCAACGTCCGGATATGCAAAAAATTGTTTCAACCCTTAATCAATTAAAATTACCTAAAAATCGTGTCGATATTTTTATGCCATCAGAAATAACATCCGGTATCATTCAAGAAGACATTCATAAATATAATGCAACTAAATGGATTGAAAATGCCCTAAAGGTTGGAAAAGTTAACTCCATATCCTTTAAAGAATTGAAGAAACCGAAATCGCTTAATACAGGAAATTTTGGATGTATAATGAAAGCAATTTGGACCAAAACAAATAACTATGTCGTTTATAAAAAGTTGACTAATACAGAAGCAATTAGAGGTGATGTATTGGAAGCTTTTATCCATGAATTACAAATCCACTTGCGCCTTGATTATAGCGAACGAATCGTACGTTGCTTGGGTATTAGTCAAGGTGATGTAAAAAAAAAAAATTTTAACTCGCCTCTTAAATAAGGAAATCTTTTTCATTATTGAATATGAAGTATTTTTAAACTGTTATTATAGATCAAGTTACAAAGGAATACCTTCTTGTTATGCAATATGCCAACGGTGGTGACCTTCAAACCTATCTCAAAAAGAAGTTTAATCAATTAACATGGGACGATAAGAAAAAATTAACATATCAAATTGCTGATGGATTAAATTATTTACATAATGAAAATATTTTACACAGAGACCTTGTAAGTTTCATTCTTATGATATATATACTTTTTCAATTTCAATATATTAATGATTGAAATTTTAATTTAGCATTCCAAGAACATAGTCATTCACGAAAACAATGCTAAAATCACGGATTTTGGCATTTCAAAGAATGAAAATATTCAAGATTCTACCATTCATAACGGCGTATTTGGTTGCATTCCTTATATGGAACCAAAGCGTATTTTGGACCTGAAATTCCCATATACTAAATCATCCGATATTTATAGTTATGGCGTATTGATGTGGGAAGTTTCTAGTGGATACCCTCCATTTGACGATTATATTATAAACAATAATATAATTCCACTTGCTGTTACCATTAACAAGGGAACTCGTGAGACTACGATCCCGGGTACTCCTAAAGATTATGAGTTGATTTATAAAAGATGTTGGAGACAAGAACCTAAGCAAAGGCCAACTATCGAAGAGGTATTGGACGATTTTGCAAAGATGAATTTTGGAACGGATAAAAGTCCATCAGTTAAAGGTATAAAGCATTATAATAATAAAAAACGTATAATATCAAGTCCATTAATAATAATCCAATTCGATTTATCAAAGATGTATATGTAGAATTTGACCCGGAAATCGCCAATGATCATAATAATCAAACCTCGGAATCACAATTTATTAATTTCTTGGAAAATCATTAGGTTTTTTCCATCAAGGTCGTTATCATCTAGGAAAGATGTATACAACAACAACTACAACAATAATAATAATTATGATACGTTTCCTTAATTAATTTTATCAAGAATCTCCCTTTACAAATGCATTATCTTAATAATATAAAATTTTATTTTTATACTATTCTCTTATTTTTGTTAAAAATGCGTTATCTTAGTAATATTTAAAACCAAATTTAGTAGTAATAAATCTTTATGAAAGATTTTAAATCTGGTTTCGCTTATTTTGAAAACTTTAGTAGTAAAAGTCACGGATTTTTAATTGGTTTGGTTCAAACGACCAATTAGGAACCGTGAGATGAACATCTAATTAATTTATTTATAATTCATCTTATTAAAACTTATTTAAAATTAAAATTTTTGTACTTTAAATGTATAGGAGGAATGATGGCTAGGAAAATCAGGCTCTGGGAATTTTTTTTAACAACACTGAGATTTTGATTGCATTTTGGTTTTTGTTGTTTTTAGATTAAGACCTTAATTCTAGTCAAAAATTCTCAGAACCTGATTTCACCTCAGTATCGAATAGTGTAGTTTTCGTCAAAATCAAAAAATAAAAAAGCAAAGATTATACTATATAATATCAATCGTATAATCGTGAATTATCGTAGGAATTTATTCTTATGTTACGAGGGAATTATTTCGCTTCATCCCAAAAGTCAAAATAATTTATCACGGGAATATTTTGTCTATAGAGACTATAGAGACAAAGATTTGGATATGAGCCTTTTGACATTTTTAGACTTTATAGGTTCGTTGTTTAAATATCATTTTAATAGAGGGAGGATTATAAACGCGCAGGGGTATTTCATTGGTCGATTTTTTGCAGAGGACTTTATTGATCACGTGCAACAGATTTCAGTAAGCTGAATAAAATAATGCATTTGATCGATCAATGATAACTTTATTTAATTTATAATCTTCATTTATTCCTATAACTCGTCGGCTTCTTATCACTAGTAATTAATTATCAACATGGCCAAAGAACCTTTCGCTCAGAAATGCTGCCAATATTTTCATCGGAAATTTTGGTTGTAATCAATCTACACTGGAAAGGATCTGTTGCATATAAAAATATAAGTCAACCCTATAAAAAAAAAATTCTGGAATTTGTCCAGAATTTGCCGTAGTATCCAGATAATGTCCGGAATCCACCATGTTTTAGTACACTTTCCGGACGATTTTGACATTCGGACATTTTCGATAACATTTTCTGGACATTTTTTTTTTATAGGGCAAAACCATAATTTGATACTGTATTTCCATCATCGATCAATCATAATGGTAATCATATCCAACATTTTGTGATCGATCAATTAGTGAAAATATTGACGCTTTGCAATTAAAATCACTTGATAGATAAATGACATGTGACGTAATGTGTTAAATTATTAGACCTACATGACTATATGTATTATGGATCACTAGATTCTTTAATTCACACGAATTCGGGTCAAAGTTATAAATATCAATGCGCTCGGAATAAGAATTTATCACATCACAACCATCATGAATTTCTTTTCATTTCTTCCTGTACAATGATGAAACATAGTATTAATTAATCCAATTTAATTATTACCTGTAATAAATAATTTCCAATTACCAAATAATGCCAAGTTTTATGTTTTCGTCCTGATTCTAGATTCAAAACTGACCACATTAGTAAAAAGTATTTTTTTTTTTTAATATCTATAAATAAATCTTCTCAGTATTTTTTTTCCAAGCATAAATCATGCTACAAAATTTATTTGGTGACATGAAAAATTAAGAGTAATTTATGCAGTGTCATCCACATGCTAAAAATTAGATCAATTAAAATATATTTATTACCAGGTAATAAAGTTTTGTATGACCTTTAATCCTTACTTTTTTTTTTTTAAAGAAAAAAAAAAAATGGGGGAGAAATAATCGATTTGGCAAAAGGATTTCCTCCCGGAATTTTTTATATTTATTTTAAAGTACATTTTACTAGATGTATTTCTTTTATTGATGCGGTTACACGACACGAAGATATTCGAAAATCGTCGACAAAAAAAAAAAACGGTAAAAAACACCAATGAAGATCGGACCGAGTTAATTTTTGATGGTACTTTTTTTTTTTGTTGTTGCTGATTTTGCAGTAAAAAAGGGAAAAAAACTGCCGGAAAAATTCAAATTTATTTTTATATGCCAATTATAAAATCAAATCCAGATTTACTACCGCAAAGCGCCCATCTATATGTACTTTGCTTTTTCATATAATAATAATTATTATAATTAATAATAAGATAATAATAATAATAATAATATTATTATTATTATCTTTTTTTTTTTTTTTTTTTTTTTTTTTTGTTTTCTTTAACAGTACAAAAAGATTTTTATCACGACATAATAATAATAACAACCGGTTCGAAAATGGGATAGCATATTCGAACATGAAATCTTGAAGTTCGATATTTTAAGTAAAACCTTATTTTTTTTTTCATACCAATTAAAACTCTTTTCATCGTTACAATCAATCATATTTATCATCTTTGTACGCCACAAAGAGTTACCATCTACCTTCAAGATACCTACATTGTAATATCTCTAATAAATTGAAATATCATATCATATGAGGATTATGTTATAATCTACGTTTCAAATATATTTTCGAAGGTTCGAAAACCTCCCTAAAATTTACATAATAAACATAACATACACAGCTCATAAATTAAATTGGGACTAATACCATATATTCTATTTATGGAAAATTCCTAATTTGTAAATTCCGATTAGGTACTTTGATTTTAAAACACAGTCCTCCCGAACTCGAGTATATAATCATGGACTAGCTAAGCCAAGGATCTGGTGCTTTCCAAAATTAGTAATGCTCTGTTTATACGTTTTTTTTTTTTTTGTGTCAAATATGAAGATCCGAAAATCTATTCTTATCATAATCAGCAATGTTGAAGTATTATTGGGAATCATAAAACTTTTTTTCGTATCCCGCAAAATTTTTATCATCACAATGAGTTATGAATTAACAAAAATAAAAAAAAAATAAAGATATTATAAATCCTTGATTATGAAAGAAGCGTTATTGTCGAGGTGAGGTAAAAAAGCAAACCTCGATTCAAAACTTCTCGTAACTATTGTATATGCCATGAATCCATGTGACCTTTAGGACCTTTACTTTAACCGGTGCCCAAAAATTCAAAAGTCCATATTATTATTATTATTTTTTTTTTTTTTTTTATATTTTATTTTATATTATCAAATACATAGAAATGTAAATTATTAACATTTTTTGACGGGGGCAAAATATGAAACTTAAAAAATTTTTTTGAATAATTTTTTAAAGAAATCGAAAAGGAAAAAGAAAAAAACAAATTTAAAATAAAATAAAATACGAACGAAAAGAAAAGAAAATTTGAACTAAACTTGTTAATAAAACTCCGAAATTAAAATAGCATTAAATAAAATGCGACGCGATGTGCGAAAATTTTTTTTTTAAGGAAAAAAAAAAAAGAGGAAAAGTAAATAAAAAAAGAAATTGGAGTAATTTTATATAATAACATTTTAACCGATAAATTTTTTTTTTTTAAAAAAAAAATAAAATAAAATAAAAATAATAAAAAAGCGCGCGATTTTAAAATATTTCGACATAATTTATATTCATAAATTGTTGTTTTAATTTCAAGTCATAACTGTTGGTTCATAAAAAAAAATTTTTAAAACTGAGTTTTGGTTGTAGACTTAATTATAAAGTACATCAATCTAAAGAAAAAAAAAATTTTTTTTTGTAATGATGAGATTTAGCAAAGAAACCTTAATTTTTTTATTTTTAAAAAAAATACTTACATTCATAAAAAAAAAAATAGAATTGTTTATCGATTGAATTCGTTTTTCATCACCTTATTATATTCAGTGAAGGATGATGAATCTTCCTTTGAAGATAACACATTTGAATTCGTCTATATCAATATGCTCGTTTACAAAAATTAAGAGAAAAATAAAAAAATAAAAAGAATGGAAGAGGCAAAAAATTCTTTTTTGTCGTTATCAAGGATTCATGATTTGAGTGATGTTTGTTTCGACATTAAAGGAATGTTTGAAGTTTATTGGGTTTTGATTGAATTAAAACCAAGGAGAAAAAAAAAAAATAAACCATCCTTTATTTATACGTGTGAATTGTCTATTTTTAGCGCAGAAGCCCCAAAATACGAGTTTTCAGTCATAGTAAACAAACCCTGTTTTTAATTATCTGTATGTAAAATTCGTGTGGATTTTGATTTTTTAATTTGTATAAAGTGAAGTGATTAATTTACCAAAACACAAAAACATTTAAAATTATTTTTAACCTTATTACCAAATAAAGAATGATAAACGAACTTATGGTTCTTCCAAAAAGAATTTGTTGAAAATTCCAGTTATGCATTATTTGGATTTTTTGAAGTGCGTTTTCAAACCTTTTATTCCGTATGATGTTAGTCTCACTATACTATATTCGGTATTTCAATAGTCAAGCTAAATCAAGTGAACGACCGTGTAACAAAACATCAATAATCAATTTTAACTTGTAAAAATTTTGTGGTTGTAGGTTGGTAATTTCTCTTTTTAATGTCTTTTTAATTAATATTTTTCCGTTTGTGAAAAAAAAAAAAGTTATTTGTTACGTTACAAAGGGTCTTGCGCAAAAAGCTTTTTGCTACACAATTAATTGATTTGATTATCCATTGATTTTAAGTTTAATCTATCCATTTATAGGATTTACACAAGCATAACAATAAAAATTTTTATTTAAGCCTTCATGATTAAAAAGTTCTAGATTTTAATACCACCAATAAGAGGTAACTAGAAATTTATATTTTGAAATACAGTATGTACCTGGAATTCAGGAAATGTTACGTAATAAAAAGATTGTTTATTGGTTGACATCACCTGACGGATTTTCGTGATACACACGTGATACCTCCTGAAGAATGTCATGACAATATCATAATGATATCCGAATTCGATTCGATTTAGATAAAGTAATACGTCAATATTCTAAAAAGGCATGCGTAATTAAAAAAATTAAAAAGCTTAATTTATTTATTGAAGTCAAGTCTCATTAGTGGAAGTTCCACTAAACGTCAAATGATGATAAAAAAGTTGTTATTGGTATGCTATTTTATAAGGTAATTTAAAATGATATTGTTTAAAAAGGCTACTTATTTTTTAATGATGCAAGATGCATGAATTGATTGGTGATTGTATGCGGTGACATCCATATGGTGATTCTTATTAGCTTAGATTTTTAGGTAATTGCCAATCGGATCCGCTTTTATAAATTACTATTTCTGTTACAAAACCTTAAAATAATAAAATTGGGATATTTTAATGTTGAAAGATGAGTTATTGATCTATTGGGTTGGATTTTTTCTTTAGGGAAATAAAAGATGAGAATAAATATCATTAGTCATATCATGCAACTCATCAACTCGTTTAGAATTCAGGGGTTGAAGAAAAGCATATAATTTTGTCACGTATGTTTTTTTATTTCTCTTTACCTAATCGTTCGTAATAAATATATAATTATTTATAATTATTTATAATAAATTAGTTAAATCATTTAAAGTGTATTCAAAGGATCTTTTTATTTTTATTTATTTTTTTTTTTCACTTAATATTTTATTATTTATTAATCTTCAAAGGATGTTTTTATTTGTTTACTTTAAGGAACGCGATTTATTTATTGCTACACGTAAATAATACATTCAATAATTCATTCATAATGATGATGACATTATTTGTTTATTAGGAGAGTTACAAAGCTAAAAAAAAAAAAAAAAAAAAAAAAAAAAATTATTTATTTATTTTTAATTTTTTTTTTATAGGTATCTTTCATTAATATATATGATCTTTTTTATTTTTTATATATTGTAGTATAAAGAAGCTCATTCTATTTTTTTTTTTTTATTATTTCCTTAAATAATTTTCTTTTATTTTTATTTCTTTATTTTTACATGCAAATAATCGTCTTGGCAACACGCCTTATTGAAATATTAAACAAGGGTTTTTTTTTTTTCTTTTTTTTTTTCTTTTTCTTTTTATACCTTGAATCACGCTAATACATCGCAAAACAAGTACCTATATTTTTTTCCCTGCTTGCCACAAATAATTACATTATAATTGCAAAAACATGGGAAAGTCCCACTCAAAACGATCTCCAATCTCCTCTCCATCATACAATAATTGTTCTTTTATAACGACAAAGAAACAAACATCCCCATCGTTGATATCAAACAATTCCCGCTCTCATAGCTTCTTAAATAAAAGAATTTCGTCATTTTCATCATTTTCCATGAAATCGTCACCATGCCCAAAGAACACTCCACCTTCAGTTAGCATCTCAACCGCACCAAATACTCCCGCTACATTACGCAGCGAATTTATAGAATCTTCGGATTATTATAATAATGGTGATTTAAGTAATCATGACGGTCAATTATTAGAATCCCCTTCATCGGAATATAAATACATTAATGGTAGACGTTTTCATAATGTTGATTCGGTAAAATATTCCTTACCAAATGATGATGCCGAAATGGATAGATTAAAATTGCAACATTATTTATTCCGTTATATCTTTCAAGGAAGTTTTTCTTCTCCTGTTGAAGAAATATTAAAGATTGGCGGTACTGAAGTATTAGATTTAGGATGTGGCCCTGGAACTTGGTTGTTTGAAATGGGTGATAATTTTCCAAAATCGAATTTTACCGGCGTTGATTTAACAAATACCTTATCAGGAAATGACTCCTTTCAATTTCAAAATGTTAAATTTGTTAAAGGAAATGTGTTGGACAGTTTACCTTTTAAAGATTCTACTTTTGATTACGTATTTATCAGATATTTAAGTTTTGGGTTCACTGAACAGGATTGGAAATATGTCATAAACGAGATAATAAGAATAACCAAACCCGGAGGTTGGATTGAGGTATGAAAATGAATGATCAAGTTTTTTTTTTTTTTCCCTTCTTTTTGGAGAAAATTTTTTTTAATTATCTTTTACTCGTCAGTTCATGGAACCAGAATTTAAATTACGTAACAATGGTCCCATATCCGAATATTTGAATGATGCAAGTAAGTTAACTCTCCAAAATAATACTTTTTTTTTTTTTTTTTTTTTTTTTTTTTTTTTTCCTTTCTATACATATACTCATTTTGTTTAACCTTTCTTCTCGATTTACTAGTGATAAAAGATCTCGATTCACGAAACATATGTACAAACATAACAACGAAGCTGGAACAATTTTTGATGGACACTAAACAAGCTAATAAAGTATTTCATGATGAAAAACCTTCTAATTTTGGTTCATGTAACGGGTAAGTATTTATGATTCTTTAATTCCAATTTCAATATTTTTTTTTAAAAAAAAAATTTTTTTTTGCGTTAATAGGCGATTCGGGGAATTGGCTTGCAATGACTTCATTATGATAATGCGTACAATAGAGCCTCGGTTATTACAAATTATTGAGACAAGTAACGAAGAATATGATCAATTATTACAAAATATACCTGATGAAATGAATCAATTTAGGCCTTTTTATATATGTCACCGTTTTTGGACGCAAAAATTATTTCCTATGTAAATAATATAAAACAAAAAGTTATGTCCGAGAAGAGTTTGATTTGATATAATTTATGAAAAGTAATATTTAATTTAATAATCTAATGTAATATAGTATTCTTGACTTTTAATTTAATTTAATAAGATTTCAGTGCCTCTTTTTTTTTTCATTTTCATTGCTACGAGAACTTCTCAAAATACTTGACATAAAATAGTATGGCAATTTTGGTTAACTTTAAAATAGTCAAATCTGATACGTAAATGAGGAACGAAGCTGAAATTTTAAAATCTGCTTCTGGCATACTTACCAAAAATTTATAAATTTATAAATTATTATAAAATTCACTAATGAGTATTGAATTAAAAAAGCATTTGGCGATATTGGAATTCGGGCTGGTAACGAAAATAATTTTAGTTAAAGACAACCCAATCGTAAAAAAGAAAAGTTATCTATACGACGTAACTTTATAAGAAGAACTTATTTGAGATTCGGATGTTAAGAAATATGAATCTTGTCCAAGTAACCCTTATTATTTAATATATGGATTTGGGTTTGGGGTTGGGGTTTTAGGTTATAGGAAACGTCATTTGTCTGAATTATACAGTATCGTTAAATTTATAATTCTATCAACGGAAATGTCTCTTCCCATTTAAAGGTTTCTCTGATGGTTGACGACATATACGGCGCCTCAGAAGATCGTCAGTTCGTTTTTTTTTTTTTTTTTTTTTTTTTTTTTTTTGATCCAATAATTATTCATTATATTATTTAAATTATTTAATCATTCCATTAATAATATTATTAATTACTTTAATTACATTTAATGTTATTGAGATTATTAAAATAATAAATTTGTTTCGATCGTTTAATACCAAAAGGTTATCGTTGATAACTTTCAATTTTATAGCTTTATATTAAGAGTAATTAATATACATTTATAGTATAAAAATTTTCTCACCTAGTAAAAATAAACTAGAGGTTCTAACTATCTAAATAATTACTATATTGATAGTTAATAAAGAATAATAAATCCTAAGTACACAAATTGTATAGTACCTTTCTTAGTTCTTTAAACACTGCATGGTTTTTTTTAACACTGTAATGACAGCTGCTAATAAACATCTTTCAAAACAAACTACTACAACCTAATACAACATCCTTTATATACATACTTAAACTCTTTAATCCACAAATACATTAAACAATTATATTGCATGTATTACAAATTCAAAAAAACTATCCGTATTTCCAACCATCTATAAACACCAAAATATTATAAAACTTGCCTTTAAATGTTTTATATAATACAAAAAGTCTATACTCAACAATATAAATGTAACACTTAAAAAAATCTTTCAATTCTTTAAAAAAATAAAATTTAGAAAAAATAAACTGGTTACTTTATTCTTTAAAATAAGCTCTATTAAATTACCGGTCGGTTTTTCAAAATAAGTTTTATATAAAAAGTTATAGGTATTTAAAATTGGATAATTTTCATATATTTATCCTAAATTTGAAACATATATTATTAATTAAAATTTATAATAATTCGAGCTGGTATTATGGTAATTAATTATAATGTCAGCATAATTTTAAAATGATACACAAAAAAATGATTAATATCTTATTTTTATTGATCAATTACTAATCACATGATATAAAATTCACAAAAAAATTTTGAAACATTGTTGAATTAAGACTTCTGGCACTATATTAACAGCTTTTATAAATAGATATTACAGTAATATTTAACTTCTTTTATATATATAGAAATTTATAACTGATATAATTAAACATAATAAAATCTAAAAATAACAAATGAATTCTCTAAGTTATCAAATAACTTCAAAAATACATTCATAAAATAATTGACTCATATTTCAAATAAAATAGAAAAGTTATCATATTCAACTACATATTAATAAATACATAATTGCTTAAGTAAAATTTAATATTAAATCCTGATAAAATTAAAAAACATGCTGCTAAATATTTTTAAACTATAATAAATTTTACAAATTATATAGTAACTAATAATATATTAAATAATTTTTTATAAAACTGAAATGATTAGTAATTTTTTTATGATCTTATAAAATATATAAGCATTTTGCAGTAGAAAGTGAGAAAACTATTAAAAATTTTTTTTTGAATTAATATTAAATCTAAATTTATTTTATTAAAAAAATAATATTTAGTTTATAAAATAAAATAAATTTTTTTGGTAGTTTCTTTACTTTATACTACAAAGTGCTTATATAAATAATAAAATTATAATAATATCAATAATATTTTTATATCTAATAATTAGTTAAATATCTTTTTTATTATAAAACTACTAGTTTTACACAAATCTTTTTATAAAATGCAATCTAAAAAAATGTATAATTTTTTTATATATATATTTTTTATAAACTCTAATACTTCTATACATTAAATTATAACTTATATATATCTATTTTATAACTAAATTAAAAGCTTAAAATTGTAAATTAATTAATATTTAATCTATTATATTATTAAATACTATCTAAAAAGTATTTATTAAAATTTTAATATAATAATTTTTATTAAATATAATATTATCAAATGATTAATTTTACTCAATAAATACTTAAACTTCTTTATATCATTAATAATTTATTAAAAATTTATAATTCATATAAGAAGAATAACAAAATCAGATTTATTTAATCCTTTATATTCTTTTTCAAGATATGTTAAAGATTTATAATTAAAATTGTTTGTATAAACTCATTTTAGATCTAGCAAAATGTTTAACTTTAATTTTACTAATTTTTTTACTAAAATTTTAATATAGTTTTTCATTTTTATAAACTTTGATATAGATTTATCTTTTTTAATATTTCGCAGATTTTTTAATAAGATTTTAATATAATTTTACTAAAATTTTACTTTTTTCTATTTAGATAACTTGTAAAATCTCTAAGTTTTGTCTAGCAAACTTATCTACAATAAAGTTAATTTACATTGAATTAACCTTTAATATTTTATATTATTTTTTAATATGAAAGGTTTGCTAGAAAAAAGGGTTCTAAGATTAATTTCTATTTTTACATAATATGATAAACAAAATTTGAGCTTTAATGTTAAGATGATCTATTTTTATAATTTTAAATCATGTAATTTATATTATGTGTTTAAAATTATATTATATAATATAATATAAAATATTAAATTATATCGATCATTTTCTAAATAGTAAATTAATTATATTTATTATTTTCAAATTCTATTTTTAGATTTCTATGTAAAAAATTCAATTGATATTTATTCATTTTAATAAAGGATCAGTATTTCTAGTTCAGTTGGTAACAACTGAGCTCCTATTGTAAGTTACATTGCAATAGCCACAGGTTTAGATCTCAGTCGAGGTATAAAATTAAATAATTTTCATAAGAATTTTATATATAACTGAATACGTGGATGCATATACTAATATGTATAGAAATTGGTCAATTAATCTGTTGATCAACATTAATCATACCTAAATACTAGATTTTAAAAATAAGTGGATGCAAATGAAGTTAGATATCAATAGAAACTTAATTGTCGCTAATAGGTCTGTAATAGATACCGTCTCATATCTTAAATTTTAAGGCTTTTACAAAAGTAAGAAAGTGGTTAACCAGTAATTAATAGATTGAATACTACTTTTAGGTGGCTATAGTGATAATAGACTATATTACACTATTGCAGCTCTATCTAATCGAACTATTACTAGAGTTAAAGGCTAGATTCAATTTCTAGATGAATTTGACAATATGGATCCCCACATTAGAAATAATAAAAATTAGACATCTGACACTCTATCCATCATCTCTTTTATATCCTCAATGTGAAAAGATTTTTATCATATTTGGATGTGTTCAATCGTCAACTATGAATTAAAAACAATCATAATCAATTCCAAAGATCACCTAAAATTTATTACTAATGCAAATGACATCAAAATAGAGCAATTATCTTGTTGGCAGCTTTGTACTTACAATTTGACCTCTTATTTTACGCTTATTAAAGGAATTGTTTCCTTACAACTATACTGCTTCATTTACAGCAAACTTCATTCAGTGCAACTAACTAATGCAGCCTGTTTCTCATTTATACATCTCATCTATGAATAAACTCAACAAATTTGGACAGATAGATGCACTATACAAAAAGAGCTAGAAATCTCTGCTAATATCACTATCAAAGAAAAAAATAACGATTTTAAAATCTCAGATTATAACCTCTCTTCTAGATTTACTCACAATATCTTTAGATCAAATTCTATCAATACCATGATATGCTTAGGCTCATATTGGTCAAATTTTTAGTGTAGTAGTGACCACACCTTCTTCTCTTTTATTCATTTATTTTCCTGAAAAGTAATATATTTAGCTTAAATTTGATTTGATTTTGGGAAAGTGCAAGATCGATCTTCTTTATAAATATAGTTTTTAGACGAGATTTTTTTTTTCTTGTGATTTGTTTTTATTTTGTTTTTTAGTTTATCTATAAAATGTATAAATATCTACTTTTATCATAATAAAGATTTAGTGAAACTACCACACTTAAAAAAAAAAAATTAAAAAATATTTTTTACCAAAAGTAATAGTCTATCTTTGATTAATATAAACGAGATTTTTGTGATTTCTTCTTGATTTTATAATTTGTTTATTTTTATTTTATTTTTTATCATAATAAAAATATTGCGAAACTACTGCACTTTAAAAAAAAAAAAATATTAAAAATATTAAAAAATATTTTTCAACTATTTTTTTATAAAGTTTATATATAAAAATTCTTAAATTAACATTAAATTAAAAATATATAAATATCAAATATATCTATATTTTTTTAATAATAATCATAAAAATTAGAAAAAAAGTAGAAAATTTAAAGAACTTGCAACATTAAATTAAAAAGTAAAATTATAAATACATTAGATATCATATATTTAAACCACTATCTAATAATATTTGTGATTAATATAAATGTTTAGATTAAGAAGAAGGTAT